GGCTTCTTCACAGCTGGCTTTTTCATTCTTTCAATGCTTCAGATAAGAGACTTCTGATGGTCAGTAACTCAACTTTATCTTATGAGGTAAAACTCAAGAAATTAACCTTTCTGTCAGTACTGAAACCAGCAGTCTTTATTTGATCTTCCCATAGTCTTCAAACAGTTATTTGATTACCAACTTTGCCAGTTATAACCTTTAAAACTCTAAAAATTGTCACATACAAATAAGCTGACAGACCAGTTTATGTCCCTCCATATTTTATGAGACTGTGTTTTTTTACAAGTTGATTTCATCCTTTCCTTCTATACAATTTTTTTTTTCTGCTCCCTTTTAGCTGCCAAACTGTTCACTTCCGAAAGAGCTAGTATCTTATATTGGTAAGTTCAGTTTTGTACATTTTAAGGCTAGATAACATTAGAATAACCAGGTGGAGATATCCAGTGGACACTTGGAGATACAGGTCTCACAAGAGAGGTTTGGGTTATATCTTCATAGAAGTGATAATTGAAGTATGAGAATGAATGTGATCCAAAGCATATCTTTAATAAGTATCTACTACAGGTTAAGAGATGCTGTGAAATGCTATGGTGGGTTCAAATTTTAGTAAGACATGGGCCCTGCCACTTTGTGGAATTTAGTGTAGTTGGAAAGATAAGACACACATAAGTGAAAATAGCTGATTTGTAGTTTTTAAGGTTTACAAAGTACAGATCCATAAGCAAGCACTTATCAAGTACCTACTATGTTCCAGATACTATATCTTGGGGATAGGAATATCAAGAATGGAACAATCTTTTCTCTCAAGAAACTTACATTCTAATGGGGGTGGCAAGAAGTACATATAGAATAAATGTAAAGAGAGCAAATACAAATAAATACCTAGAAATTAAGCACAAGGCAGTTAGGGATCAAAAAAGGCATCATGCAGAAGGTAGCATTTGAGCTGTGACCACGACTTAAGAGAAGGATTCTATGGGTGGCAGTAAGGAGGGAGTGCATTCCAGGAATGGGGGATAGCCCATTACAGTGTAAATACAATGGAAAAGCATTTATTAAGTATGTGCTATGTGCCAAACACTGCAAAGTACTCAGAATACCAACAGAAAAATGAAAGGAATCTTGCTTTCAAGGAGCCCACCTTCTGGGTGAGGGAGGCAGCAAATATAGAATAGTTCAGCTGTGGTAAAAAGTGTAGCAGTAGTTTAATGACAAGGCCCAGGGTATGTGTGTGGGGTGTCTTTAGATGGTACTGTTAGGAAGGAGAAATCCTGGTGGAATTTGGATAGGCTGGGATCTAGTTGGGGCCATTGGAAGGAGTCCCATGGTGGTACCAGGACACTATGGTGGTCTTTTAACAGGGGCAGGGGCAGCTGGGGTGGTTAGGCATGAAGGGAAATGTCGATCTGAGAAGATTCCTTGGTTCCTGTGGATGTGATATGGGTAATGAATCAGCAAAGAAACCAAGGAGTGGTCAGGTGAGGAGAACCAGGAAAAAGGGGTGTGACAAAAACTCAGAGGAGGCTAGGAGAATGGGAGATGGAGTATTATGTGTGAGGAACAACAGTAAACCCAGTTTGGCTGGATTACAGAATTAGTGAAAGGGGGTAATATACAATGAGGCTGGAGAGATAGGTTGGGGCCAGGTTGTTAAGGGTTATAAAAGTGACTCAGAGGCATTTTTTTTCTCCTACAGGCAATAGGGAAGTACTGGAATTTATTGAGTAAGGGAGTGACATCGGCAGATATTCACTTAGGAAAAATTGATTTGGCAGCTGCATGGGAGGTGGACTGGAGTGAGAAGGGACTTGAATTAGTAAGATTAAGTAGGAGGCCATTGGGGAGAAGTGAAGGAAGCATGAACTAAGGTGGTGGCTATGTGCATAGACAGACGGGTGGATTATAGAGATATTGCAGAGATAGAAATGGCAAGATTTAGCAACTGCTTGGCTATGTGGATGAGGGAGAATAAGGAGTTAAAGTATAGCTCCAGGGTTGTGACCTGGGAAATGGGAAAGCTGGTGGTACCTTTTCCAGAAATAGGAAGGTTTGGAAGAAGGGTGGGCTTAAGGGAAAAGATTGTAAGTTCCATTTTGTACATTTTGAGTTTGAGATGGCTGTGACATCCAGTTTGTCTATAGTTGGTGATGTGGGACTTAGACTCAAGGGAGAGACTGGGGCTGGATATATAGCTCTGTGAGTCATCTGCATGGAGATGATAATTAAACCCATGGGAGCTGATGAAAATCACTGAGAGAGAATGTCAAAAGAGAAGAGGGCCAGGACAGAGCCTTGGCAAATACCCAAAGTTTTCAGATGGATGATGAACCAGCAAAGGAAACAGAAAGATCAATCACATAGGTAGGAAGAGAACTAGACAGAAATCTTACAAAACCCAGAGAGTCAAGAGTACCCAGGAGATGAAGGTTGTCAGCAGGGTCAAATGTCAGCAGAAAGGTCAAGAAGGACAAGGACTGGAAAAGACCATCAGATCTGGCAATTAAGAGAATACTGATAAATTTAGAGAGAGTAGTTTCAGATGAGTGATGAAGTAAAAGGGTTGAGGAATGAGGGAAAGGAAAGGAAATGGAGCCTCTAATGAGAGTATAGAGGGATTCTTCTAAGCTTTCGGTAGGAAAAGGGAGGAGAGATACATGATGATAGCTTGAGGAGATAGTATTGTGCAACACATTTTTTTTTTTTTTAAGAGTGAAGGACACGGGCATATTTGAAGGCAGTAGGGAAGGGACTAGTATTAAAATCCAGAATCAAATACAAAATCCTCTGTTTGGCTTTCAATAGCCTTCATATCCTAGCCTCCTCCTTCATCTCTAGTCTTACTCCCTGCTCCGTAGTCTTTGCTCTAACACTGATCTTTTGGTTCTTTTAAGAACAAGATGTTCTGTCTCTCAGCTCTGGACATTTTCTCTGACTGCCCCCATCCCTGGAATGCTTTCCCTCCTCATTTCTGCCTGCTGACTTCCCTGGCTACCTTTAAATCCCATCTAAAACCCCATCTTCTACGGGAAGGGTTTTCCCAAACCCTCTTAATTCTAGTGTCTTTCCTCTGAATTATTTCCTATTTATCCTCTGTATAGCTTGTTTGTACATATTTGTTTGCTCTCCTCTTCCCTTAGTTTATGAGCTTCTTGAGGGCAGAGACTATCTTTTGCCGATTTTTGTGTCCCCAAAGCTTGGGACAGTTCCTGGCACATAGTATGTGCTTAATAAATGTTTGACTGACAGTAGACAGGGAGAGATGTATGATTAGAGAGGAGGGAATATTTGAATGGCTAACATGCTAGAGAATATAGGAGGGGATGAGATCATATCCAACACCACAGCCAACCAGTTGTCAAATCCTGTTGTCTCTGCTTTTGTTACATCTCTCACACATGCCCCTTCTCTCCTCTATTACTCCAACAACTTTCATGCAGGCCCTTACAGCTTTATGCCTGGACTGTTATTTCTGATTTGTCTTTTTCCGATTGGTCTCCCTACCTCAAGTCTCCCTGCTGTAATCTATCCTCCAGTCAAGCTGTCAAATTGATCTTCCTAACATCCAGATCTCCCTATTCAATAAACTCCAGTGGCTACCTATCACCTTCAGGGTCAAATCTAAAATCCTCTGTTTGGCTTTTAAAGTCCTTAATAACTTGATCCCTTCCTACATTTCCAATCTTCTTACACCCTACTCCCCGCCATGTACTCTATGATGCAGTGACACACTGGCCTCCTTGGTATTCTAGAGCATGACACTCTATCTTCTGACTGGTTTCCTTCAATTCTCAGCTAAAGTCTCATCTTCTGCAAGAAGTCTTGCCTAGTCTTCCTTAATCTTTCCCTCTGAGGGCTACCCCTAATTTATCATGTTTGTTTGTACATAGTTGTACATGCTTGTTTGTACACAATTGTTTGCATATTGACTTCCTCATTAGAGCTTCATGAGAGGCTTTTGCTTTTCTTTGTATCCACAGAATTTAGCACAGTGCCTAATACATGGCAGACACTTAATAAATACCACTAGACTGACATTAGAGGATTTGGCCTTGGGAAGGAGAAAGACTACCTCAGCAGACACTGGGAGAAAGGAGAGAGGGATGATGTTAATCAAGTGGTTTTAAGCTTAAAGAGGAGAAAAGAAAGAGTTCATGGTGAAAATTTTCCTAAATTTTCTAATTAAAATAAGATCCAGTGTCCTCAGCTGAAAGGGTTAGAGACAAAGGTGGTAGGCTTGAGGAGACAAAATAAAATTTGGAATATCTAATGTGTGGAGTGAAATAGGGAATTCAGGGATAGGGACTATGACAAGTGAAACTTGGAAATAACTGAGGAAACAGAGGTTCGAGCTTCTGATCATATCACTTTATTAAGCAATACATACCAACTGTATAACAGATTGGGACCAGGCCTCCTCAGCTTAGCACTGGACCCTGAATACGGGGTGAGACAGATTTTTATGCTTTAAAAGAAAACAAAGAAAACAGGATATAAACCAGGATAAAAGATTAAGTAATCTGATTTCTAATTGGAGGAAAGATTAAGGGCTTTACAAGTGGAGAAGGGGTGGTGGTGGTGGTGAACAGGTGCAGTTCCCCAAATCAGGAAAAGAGGTATCCCAGTCCCCTCCAAGTGTCCATGTTCAATCAAAGGAACAAGAAAACAGTAACTGATTGACCACTATGGAGCCAGTTTTCAAATAAGACATATGAGCTGCTTGAGATGTATGATTGTGAGAAAACTCTTTGCCTCAGTCTTTGGATCTAGCTCGATTTCTGGTCATCATAACCTAGGTCCTTAGTAAAGGGTCTTAGAAAAATAGGAGGTCTTTAATAAAGAGGAGGGCTAGGTTCTCACAGTTCCCATAACTGAATAAAGTTTTCTTACAAGACAAAATGGACTAGACCCATAATTGGATAGAAAGGGAACTGAGCTAGATCCAGAACTGAGTCACAAGATGGAGTCAGTGTAGTTCTCTCAATTCCCACAATTCCCTTAGGACTGTGATTTTATTGGTATAGGGAACTTCTGGATGAGGAAATTTTCTCTACCAATTAAGTAACGGTAGTTTTATCATGTCACACACATCCCCCCAATAAATTCCTGTGGCTTTTTATTACCTCCAGGGGTAAATACAAAATGCTCTGTTTGGCATTAAAACCCCTTCATAACCTAGCCCCTCCTACCTTTGTAGCCTTTTTTCACTTTACTCCCTAACACGTACTCTTTGATCCAGTGACACTGGCCTTCTGGCTCTTCCACAAATAAAACACTTAATCCCTCAGGTCCAGACATTCTCACTGTCTGTCTGCCATACCTGACACACTCTCCCTCCTCTACTCTGATTACTGACCTCCCTGGCTTCCTTTAAGCTCCAACTAAAATCCCGTCTCCTTCAGGAAGGCTTCCCCAGTCTCCCTTAATTCCAGAATAAAAGGATTGTCTTGTTGCATTTATACCCCAGTTGAAGTAAAAAACGTATAATGTACTCCGTCAGCAGGATTGTGTGACTTCTTCCAGCTCTCTTCAACATAGGTGAAAAGATAGCTAACCCTAGATCATACAAGTTTATGTATAATTTCTCCCCCCTTTTGCTCTGCTTTGTATTTGGAAATGCCCATTTTATTTGGTGATTAAGTTCAGAATAAAAAAAAATACAAATATATACTCTTTGAGGGCAGGACTTACTTCACCTTTGTATTTGTGTCTGAAGCACTTAGAACAAAGCCTGGCACATAAGCCCTTTGCTGTATGACAGTGGGCCTGTTTATGTGGATACGGAGAAAAAAAAAGAAATGATACTTAATAATACAGGGCAGAATATGCTTTAGCAGCTTATAGGAGGGAGAAAATATTTTGGGTCAAATATTCCAGGAAAGTTTGGTGTGAGAGGCGTGCCTTGAGCTGGAAGGACAGAGAAAACTTGAACCAGGGAAGAAGATACTCACCAGAGGTACAGAAGTGGGAATATGCAAGGCATGGTCAGAGAAATGATAAAATCATTTTGACTTAGATCCATGATAAACCAATAAGGCCCAGAGGGTGGGTAGGGTCAGATTGTGGAGGGCCTTGAATTCCTGGCTGAGGAAATTTACTTTCATTGTGAGTTTCATCGTTTTCATGTAGGATCTGGCAGATGAAAGTCTTTTAGGACCCACACCTCCACTTCTCATTGAACCATCCATCCTCTCCCCTACCTGTGAGAGCACAGGTTCTCTTTAGGGTTTCTCTCTTTTCCCATTTCCCTCCTATGGCTTTGTTCCTTGTTCTCTTTCCTTCTATGGAGTAGGTGTGGGAAGCTGGGGGGCGGGGTTCAGTGGAGGTTCAGTGTAATTCTTCCTTCCTCCCATCTTCCCTCTCTTAGGTATTTGTGGGATGGTGACTATCTCCTGGTATGCCTCTAATATCACCCAAGAATTCTTTGACCCCTTGTATGCTGGGACCAAGTAAGTATGGGAACTCTTTCTAGCATTCTGTTTGCCCTCAGGTTCCATCCCCAGCCACAGAGTTTCACAGCCCTGTTCCACTCTTCACCTCTCAGGTCCTGTCCTGCCCTGCCCACCTCACTCTGAACCCATCCCACACATCTGTAAGGACCCCTGCCCCTTTCAGTTCTCCTCTTCAGCACTGGCCCCAGGGCTCCATCCCTTGACCATTCCAACTCTGTGCTGCCCCCAGGTACGAGCTGGGCCCTGCCCTGTACCTAGGCTGGAGTGCCTCTCTGCTCTGCATCATCGGGGGTGTCTTACTCTGTGGCCACTGCTGCTGCCCATCAGAGAGACGCTCAACAAGGTGAGCTTGGGGAGGGGGCATAGGGAGGGCAGCTGTAAAGGAGGGGAAGGGACTTCATCGCCTGACTCTTGTCCCCATCCTGCTTGCAGCGTACCCTACAAGACGTCCATGACTGTAGTGCCCTCCATGGGTCCGGCTCGCTTGCCCCCAGGGGCTTCAGATAACACTGAAGTAAGCTTCGACAAATACGGGAAAAACGCCTATGTGTAGAGGGACTTAGGC